CAGGCTGGTCTCAAACTCCTGAGCTCAAGCGATCCTCCCGCCTCGGCCTCCCAGAGTGCTAGGATTACAGGTGTGAGCCACTGTGCCCAGCCCCACAATTTTCTGAATTCAGGATTTGCTACAGATAAAAATGTTACGACCCACCCTGTCACAATGTAATAGCCAAGACTGCCTGCTGATGAAGGTACTCAGGGCATGGGGAATAACAATGGGTGGTCCCAGGCTGAATGCCAAGACCACCTGGGCAGGAAGCCAAAGAAATGTCCCACATACAGTTAGGCAAAAATAGTTGGCCCTAATGACACTCACCAATAAAAAAGGAGGCTCAACATCTAGTAGGCCTCTTTGGGCACAGAAGACAGCATGCACCCTGCCTGTGCATTCTTTTAACTCTTAATCGAGGCGACCAGCAAAGCTTCCAACTTTGAAAGGGGCCCTATGCAGCAGTGGGAGCTGAAAACTGTTCCACAAGCTGTGGGCCAGACACTATCCTAAAAATCATTAGATCTTTCTAGCCTGATGGAATTACAGGTGTCGGTAACCTCAATGCATACTGATTAGGGGCTGTGACAACAGAAAAATGCCACGGGGTTGCAACCTCTCAGATCTTTGACATGTAAGTCACCCGAGACAGCTCCACATATATACCTTTTGAATGGCAACTCCTTGCTTACTACTGAGCGCTGGCGGGGACTGTGCATCTTACGGTTGGAGCCCCAGGTGATGCGGTTACATGAAGTGCCTGTTCTCACTTGGACACTGACAAACCCCACCAATGAAACTGAACAGGCTCTGGCCAGGCATCATGGCTCATGCTTGTAATCCCAGCACTTTGGGAGGCCAAGGTGGGAGGACTGCTTGAGGCCAAGAATTCAAGACCAGCCTGGGCAACATAGCAAGACCCCATTTCTATAAAAAAGAAAAATACAAAAAATTACCTAAGTGTGGTCCCACATACCTGTAGCCCTAAGATACTCAGCAGGCTGAGGCAGGAGGATGGGTTGAGCCCAGGTGTTGAAATGGCAGTAAAATATGATCATGCGACTCCATGGATCATCACTCCAGCCTGAGAGACAGAGACCGTGTCCCTTAAAAAAAAAAAAAAAAACCGAACAGGCTCAAAAGAGCTCAATTATCAAATGGTACTGGTACATTCAAAATTGGGCCCAGCTTAGATGCCAAGGGACCATACACTCTCTGAACAAATGGCTAGCATACCCTTAAGGGATTCTATGGCTCCTCCTGTGGCTCTCTGGGGACCAAGATTCAGAGACATGCCTATGAACTGTATGGCACAGTTCAATGATGGCTCCACAAAACAAGGTCCACTGAACTGTGCCTTCCTTCCGCCCAATGGATGGCCATCCCTTGCCTAAGACTAGACACGGACATCACACTCAACTGACTGAACTACATGCAACAGTGATGGCCATGCAGGCCACCCCCAACATCATATCTTGCTACCTTTTTAACAACTTGTGGGTCAATGACAATAGCCATGTAATGTGGTCAGAATGGCAAGTGAGTTACTAGACTCTCAAAGGATTCCATACGGGGACAAGGAACATTACAACGGCTTGCTGCCTAGACATGACAAATACATGCCATTCATATGGATGCTGGGACAATCATGGTCACCTTTGAGAGGAACTTAATGTTTCTTGATGCACGAGACTTCACTGTGACCGTGGAATACGATTCCCTGTCGAAGCAATGCTACAATGGGCACATTCTAACAGGACACGACAGACTTTCCTTTCACCTTGCAATCTGAGAGCCAATGGAGTGACTGAATGACGGAACAGCCAACCAACAAAGCAACTGAAAAGAGAACACTCAGATGGCCTGCTAGCGGGGTAGCACCCTGGTCTTGCTAGGGCGGTATGGACAGTAAACTCTGCACCCCAGGGCAAGGGAAACATGGGACTGCAGCGCACGCGGAGACAACGATGACTGGAGTGTGGATGGAGTTGGACCAGGCAGCCACCTGATTAGGCTGTGCCTGTGAAATCTCAATCTCAATGTTCCTAACCATTCTTTTTCCATTTTTTCCCCTTTAGAGTACTAGGCATGGTTTGAGGTTCAGGCCACTACAGTACCACGTGCTACTGTTATACTATAACATAGCGACCCTCTTTTCTGCCAGTGTAAACTACACCAGCATTCCTAACGTTGGAGTATACAGCAGAACCCAAGATCTGGCTTACAGAGTGAACACTTGGTGCCCAGCACATGGAGGGAGCTGGAGGTACCTGTTTTAGCTCAGCTTACTCTGTGGCAAAATGTCACAACCACAACTAACAAAACCTTAGTGGGCTGCTTCTTTGAAACAACACATTCCTTTAATTACATGGCTGACCCATCATCATGATGACAAAAACAAGGACTGAACTAGTTCTAGCCTGAAGTGTATGGACTTCATGAACAACACTATACGGGGAACATGAGCTCTTGCAACTGTGCCTTCAATAAGACTCGGATGGTGAATGCCAATGCTTTTGTTGAGAAGCAATGTATACAGAAAAGACAGGTATTAGATAAATAAGCTGGATTAGAATACATGGAAGGAAAAACATTATAAGTAAAAATCATATTCAGAAACAAAGTCATTTCAATATAGTTGAACATGAACCATAGTACATATTTTTCAATAAACTGAAAATGACATTTCTATTGTCCTTGAGAAAATACCCTTCTAGAAAAGTTGCTCAATCGTATTTTACAATAGACCTTTCCACACATTAATTTTCACTGAAGTAGCATAAAAATATCTTAGCCAACTAAATACTATTTCACAGACATTTGCAACAATCATGCGGTCTAATGTGACCTATGTGTGCAGCAGGAAAATGAATGTAGTTAATCCCATAAAGAAAACTGGGGACCTTTGAAACCAAAAAGGCAGCAGTTTCCAAGAATAAACGTTCTATATTTCAGGGAAGAATCAGTCTACATTTCTCATGTTTGACTACTAATGCCCTTTGACACTTCTACACACCCTGTTCCTGTTACATCCATCTGGACAAGCTGATAATAATGGCTCAGTGCTCCCTCCTATGGCACCAGCTACAAGTTCAAAGCACATGTGGGTTCCACCCCCTCAACCGCACCCTGTAACAACCATAACAACTTGAGCCAGTCACCTATTGCTGTTCTCGCAAGCCATTTTTGGGCTAGCCTGGGAAGCCTACTATGCTTTCCCCAGAAAGCCACATTATGTAAAACATTCTCATAACACTTCTGTGTACTGCATCATCATTCTCAATATTCAAACCAAACTTTTAGGCAGACTTCAATCAAGTTCTAGCGGACTAGTCACAAGTTTGACTTACCAAAAATGTTATGAGTGAATACATGAGCTTTCTAGTTTACCCACCCAATGAAACAATATTCCCATTGAATATGTTCATTTTCTAAGAGAAAACTCATGAACATTAATCTTTTCAAATTATATCCATGAGCACCCTAAGGACAAAAAAAAGGATGGTGTTATTTTCATTTTTATTCTCTACAATTTACTTCATATATTTTTACTGAATACCTATTTTTACTTCATGTAAAAAATGATATATGCCACGGGTCTTATTTGCTACAGAAGAAAAGAGGCATGTAGAATTACAATACAGTGCATACTCACCAACAGCAATGCAGGTTTTAGAGTGTAACATTCTCAAGTTGCAGGGAGGGCTAGGTTTTCATTATATACACATATGTAATCTAGGGGAGAGTGCAGAGAGAACTCAAAGTATAATTATGTTTCCAAAATTGTATATTGTTTGAGTATACCAAGAAAAAAATTGTTCTAGATCCTTCAGTCTCAAGAGCCTAATGATGCATTGTTATTGCTTGTTATGAAGTATGCTACTAAGACGAGATAAAATTATGTTCGTAAAAATAACGTGACTCACAATTATATAAAAAAGATTAAATTCCATTAATTAAAATGAGACCTATAGCACACTCTGAATCAACCAATGGCAAAATGTAATGTCAGGAGAAAAATGTGACTCCTACTCAAGAGATGTACTGTACTGGTACTTTTGATTAAACTCTCCGCTCTGACAAGCGTTCTTTTCAATTTTAAAAATAAAACTAATATTTCCTCAGGTGGCCATCATTTCCCCTGCATTATTTGTACCTAATAACCTATTAACCTCCTCCCATAAAGTCTTCATGTCCTAAGGTCTTGGCCTCCTCTATTTATGGGTCAGTTGGTAAAGTATTTTTTTCCTTTTATCCCATGGTGCCCTCCAGTCAGGAGAAAGGCACCCTGAAAACAATGAGCATGATGAATGACATCATAGTTTTACATTATTTTCAGCCTCTCCCAAATGCTAATTCAGACATTTAATTATAAAGGGCAGAGTCTTTCTTCAAGGAACTGAGATAAAAATGATCCTCAATCTAATGAAGTAAGTCCATTCATCTTATTAATTTCTTGTCCAGAGACCATCAAAGGCATGTAAGAATGTACAACATAAACACATTTCAATTCAGGATGAAAGTCATAAACAGTAATGTACCCTTTTCAATAAACCTCAAATAAGTGAACATAACCCAAAGAAAACTGGCCATTTCCAAAATTCCTGGTACCTTTGATATATATATATCTCAGATTGTAACATATTTTGACTTATAACTGTTCTGCAGTATATAATCTGAAAGATTAATGATGAGACTGAATTACTCCTCACATAAATCCTGTGATGGTCTACAGTTTTCATATGTGGGTAATAACCTCAGAATGCATGTTACAATTGTATGGGTTCATCAAAGATGTATACTCTGTTGTCTACTGAATTGTGAAACCAGTATAAATGGTTCACAACATACATTAGTTATACAATACATCCTTAATATGGATGCTGTAATGTCAATTAATGCTTGACCTCATGTTGAAGAGTTTGCTATACTCATTGCATTTGTAAAGAGTATCTTAAAAATGAATTCTCTGATGTTGTGCAAGAAGTGAATTGTGACTGAAAGATTTACCGCACTCATTACAAAGGTGTCTCTCCAACATGGATTATCTGATGTCTTGTGAGGTTTGAATGCACACTAAAGGCTTTGCCACACTCATTACATTTGTAAGGTTTCTCTCCAGTATGAATTCTGCGATGTAATGTGAGGTGTGAAGTTTGAGTAAAGCCCTTGCCACATTTATTACATTTGTAAGGTTTCTCTCCAGTATGAATTCTCCAATGTTTTCCAAGGTGTGAAGCTTGACTGAAGACCTTGCCACATATGTTACATTTGTAAGGTTTCTCTCCAGTATGAACTCTCCGATGATTTGCAAGGGTGGCAGTTCTACTGAACACTTTGCCACATTCATTACACTTATATGGTTTCTCTCCGGTATGAATTCTCCAATGATTTGCAAGGGTTGTGGGATGACTGAACACTTTGCCACATTCACTACACTTGTACGGTTTCTCTCCAGTATGAATTCTCTGATGACTTGCAAGATTTGCAGGCTGACTAAAGACCTTGCCACAGTCATTACACTTGTAAGGATTCTCTGCATTATGAATTCTCCGATGACTGACAAGATTTGCTGCTTGACTGAAGACTTTGCCACATTCATTACATTTGTAAGGTTTCTCTCCAGTATGGAGTAGCTGATGGTTAGTAAGTGTGGACCGTGTACTAAAGGCTTTTCCACACTCGTTACATTTGTAAGGTTTCTCTCCAGTATGAGTTCTCCAATGTTGTGAAAGGTGTGAATCACGACTGAAAACTTTGTCACACTGCTTACATTTGTAAGGCTTCTCTCCAGTGTGAATTCTCCAATGACTTTTAAGGTGTGAATAACGACTGAAAACTTTGTCACATTCCTTACATTTATAAGGTTTTTCTCCAGTATGAACTCTATGATGACGTGCAAAATTTGATTTATGATTAAAGACCTTACCACATACATCACATTTATATTGTTCCTCTCCAGAATAAATGGTCTGATGTATACTGAAGTGTGAGCCATAACTGAAGGATCTGCCACATTCGTTATATTTGTAAGGCTTTTCTCTATGGTGTGCTTTCTGGTTTTGTGTGAATAATGAAGAATAGAAGAAATCATTCCCATATTGATTAAAAATATGGGTTTTTAGACTACAAGAAATCCTTTGTGATGTTGAACCTGAGGAACCACTGTTGACAGACATCTCATTTTGATTACAAATTTTCTCTTCGGCTTGAAATACATGCAGTTCAGGTGTATGTGACTGAAAGCTTGATCCAAGCTGATTTTTAATAACCTTGTTTCCAGCATCCCTTCTATCATGTTGTTTTCTATTACCAGTAAAATTTTCTTTCTTTGTCAAAGGCACAGCACTGTAATTTTTTTCATTATCTCTCCACTGAAATTCAAAGTCATGGATATTTTTCTGAATTTCTCTGAAGCAAATATCTCCAATGGGATGGCTTTCATGTCTTTCCAACATCACTGTGTGGAATACTTCTCTACTACTTTTCCCTGTTGGAGGTAATTCCTTGACCACACATTTAGGAGGAATATCTACAAGATATAAAGATCCATAGGGTTCCTATTAACTAGAGATGGTAACTAAATATTTAATACTGAAATGTATAATATTACACAAAAAGCAGTACTAATATTAAACCTCCTAACCATGATCTTACCATTCAGGAACACAAATGGAATAGACTTATTTAATAAAGAAAGTGTCATTACATGTAATTCAAATTAATTCTAGGGAAATCTAGTTTCCAACATAAAGACCAAACATTCATATTGCACAAACATATGCAAGCCTGAAATAAATAGTATTTTTCCACCACAATCATAAAATACAAAAAAAAAAATTGCAGAAAACACATTACTGTCTCATAAATGAAGAGAAAAAAATACATTATACATAGTTACAGTATATTTACTGTGCATGAATAAATGTTAAAGGACCATACATTATACTGTATTGGTAAAATATCCACAACAAACTTATATAAGGATAACCTAAATAAATGGTAATTCTGAATTATAAAACATAATAGCACTGAGAAAATAAAAAAAGATAAATAAAACAATGTTATCAATACAATATTTTTCTAAATACCTACCACAGAATTAACTATACCGACATAAAACAGGCATTTTGTGACAGTAACAAGTGGTGCATTTCAGTTATATTTCATAACACATACTGAATAAATCATCATGTGCAAATCATAGTAAAAACAGATGGAACCAATGACTCAGGCCTGCAATCTCAAGTACTTGGGGACCTGACACAGAAGATCACTTGAGGTAAGGAGTTCAAGGCTGCAATGAGCTATTATTGCACCACTGCACTCCAGCCTGCATGTCAGAGTGAGACCCAGTCTCTTAAACAAACAAAAAAGTAATTAAACACTGCAGTAATTTATTATAAAACAAGAAATAATTAAGCTCATTAATACAGTTATTGTCTGCAGAATTCTAAAGAATTCTCTCTTAAGAAGAACGTGAGCTCTTCTATTTCAGAACCAGCACACAATATAAAAAGTGGAATACATGTTAAAATCCCTAACTTTTGATGTATGAGGTAAGGAAACTACATAGCATTATAAAGAATAGAATTGAGTCACAAAGTGAGAAATCACAACTGTGATTGCACACTTGCAGTTAAGTAACAGTTAATAGGGCAATTCCCTATACATGTAGTGTCCTGTAATTACCTAGGTCATTAGCCATAAAATATATGTAATAACACTTGTACTTGTTAAATTCATTAACTGACATTTGTTTTGTGGAACAAAATGAAAAACTAAAAAAAAAAAAAAGTGCAGGCTCTATGGCCTGAATGCTTGTATCAGCCAAACTTCATGTGCAGAGGTGTTACTGTCCAATGGAATGTTATTGGATGTGGGGCCTTGGAGAGGTAATTAGGTTATTAGGGTAGACTATTCAGGAATAGAATTAGTGCTCTTACAAAAAGAGACATGAGAGAGCTTGTTTCCTCTCGGTCTTTCCACCATGTCAGGACACAACAAGGAGACGGGTGGGCTAAACCAGGAACCAAGTCAGCTGGCACCTTGATTTTGGACTTGCCAGCTTCCAGATTTGAGATATATGAAATTTCTGTGTTTTAAGCTTCTCAGTCTATGGTATTTCTGCTGGGACAAGCTGACTAAGACAGGAAAAAGACCATCTCATCATACATATCACACCAAAGGTTGATAAATCTTAATAAACGAAAGAAGTTTAGAATCTTTACTATTAATATAAAACTTGTTATATTTTAAGCCATCCAAGAGCACTTATCTATTTTAAAAACATTTGCTGTTAGGCCGGGCGCAGTGGCTCACGCCTGTAATCCTAGCACTCTGGGAGGCCGAGGCGGGCGGATTGTTTGAGCTCAGGAGTTCGAGACCAGCCTGAGCAAGAGATCCCGTCTCTACTAAAAATTCGAAGGAAATTACTTGGACAGCTAAAAATATATAGAAAAAATTAGCCGGGCATGGTGGCGCATGCCTGTAGTCCCAGCTACTCGGGAGGCTGAGGCAGTAGGATTGCTTGAGCCCAGGAGTCTCAGGTTGCTGTGAGCTAGGCTGACGCCATGGCACTCTAGCCCGGGCAACAGAGTGAGACTCTGTCTCAAAAAAAAAAAAAAAAAAATTTGCTGTTTTTCAATAGTCTAAAAGAAAAATAAATAAATAAAATTAAATCCTTGAGGTAAATTAACATTATTTCTAAAATAAGGACACCAGGCCAACAGTTTCATATGTTTAACCCCAATTTTGCACATAAAGTAAATAAAAGAAACAAGACTTAATCCTGGCTCTGCAGGATCAGATAACATGCTCTTAAGCACAACTGTCCATCCAGGCAGTACAAAAAACAACCAGTCTCAGTAAATACAAGCAGTATAGAAAAGAAATACTTCAAGGGGGACATAAGAGTTGAGCTGTGTCATTAATAGTGTTACTAAGCCATATTCATGGAAAATGTTCTGAGTCATCACCCCTTGTGCTGGATTTAGGCAGCGTTCCTGAACAATTGTCCAGCGGATGAGTAGTCTTGCCTTATCAGCGAGAGTAGCGTGGGAAGCGAGGGGTCATTTGGAAACTGGGGGTTCAGAAGTATAAAATCAACATGCTAGGAAATTAACAGTGTATTCCATCTACACCAAGGTACCAGGTGAGGAATGACCAGGACAGAGGAAGGGCAGAGTGGAGAGCAGGGAGTTATGGCCATGTAGGAGTAAACTTTGTGCATGCAAATCTGTGGGAATGTAACTGTGCTGGAATAGTTCAAATTCCAACCTTGGAAGGAAAGAGAAACTAATTTAGCAAGCAATATATTATAATATTGACCCATGGTTAAATATGGGAATTACACCATGGATGTGGGACAAGAATGGAAGAGATCCATAAAGGAGATAGCCTGGTGACACGGGAGGAAAGCAAGTGTGACAACTCTTAAATTAAATGTCCTGTGAATTCTATCCCCAAGCATATATTCAACAAAAAGGATTTTTTTATATAGTTGAGAATTATGTGCACACAAGAGTACAGTAATGTAGGAGACCACTGGGGCAGGAGGATGATACCCTGGCTAAGTAGGCAGAGGTATGTTTGGAGAAACCAAGCTACATGAAGGCTTTTGGCAAGGTCTGTGCTTGGTCACATTAGTGAAGAAAGACAACAGCCCACTAGCACTCTGGGAGGCTGAGACGCAAGGACTGCTTGGGCTCAGGAGTTCGAGATCAGCCTGAGCAAGAATGAGAACTGTCTCTACTAAAAACAGAAAAATTAGCCAGGCATGGTGGTGCATCCCTACAGTCCCAGCTACTCAGGAGGCTGAGGCAGGAGACTTGCTTGAGCCCAGGAGCTTGAGGTTGCAGTGACTTATGATGACACCACTGCATTCTAGCCCAGGTGACAGAGTGAGACACTGTCTTAAAACAAACAAACAATATATATATAAATCAATGGCCATTCCCTGAATCAACAGTCCTGACACTACAAGTATAAAAGAATACTAAAACTATCATTAAAAATATGAAACTGATTAAATAAAAAACAAGTTCATTTATGATACATGGAAATGCACAAGATAAAAGCCACTCTAGCTCAAACGAATAACAGCAGAATTAAAATATGGGGACATAATTCAACTTCACAGGCTCCCTCAATAAAATGCATCAAAACTGTTATCTGTTATAGTTTTGAAACTACAACAAATTGAACAAAGGTTTTGCTGTTAAAAATGAATAATGACACATACAGGGGATGAAAAATCTGGCATGAGCAACAGTTTAGTCAAGAGCCTCAGACACAGGCTGTGGGCGCGAACAATGTTCTCCTCAGGAGGAACTTCTACACCAGTGACTGCTGGCTCAGAGGAGAAGATCATTAATTAGTACTGTGAGCAACACTGTCAAAGTGCCCTTCAGAGACACTTTTGTGAAGCGTCTCAAAAACCAGAATGACAACTGGAAAACACTTATCAGTCAGGCCCTCCCGACACTTTGCATCTCAGTATCCTGGGACACGCTGACGATTCTGCTCAGGGTTTCAAGGTGCACCTGTGTATTTAACAGGATCACATTCAAACATATTACTCAAAGGTGTTCTCCTTCACCAATTTTCTGTTTTCACATAAACTCACCCCATAGAAGAGTCCACTAGAATGAAACCTATAGTTAGCTTTATCACAGTGGAAAAAAAAAAGATAGCATATCCTAGGAAAGTGTATATCAAAAGCAATTATCAGAGGCAAAATCACAAAAACTTCAGAGAATACAAAATCAGGAAGAGCCAAGGTTTTTCTACATCAATACAGAAAGAGCAGTGGAAGAGAGAGAAATATACAATATATGGGGTCAGATTTTAAGGGATCATAAGACGGGGGCTCTGTGCTGCCCACAGGTCCTAAGCTAAGAGCCTGAAAGAATGAGATATGCTCCCCCTGCAGGACTAGAGATCAAAGAGGATATCTGTCAACTGTTTCACAGTTCTGCTGAGTAACAATCTCAGAAGATCCAACTCCTGTGTTCCACACACCCATGAACTATGGCAAAAACAGAAGAAAGAAATAGCTGATGAACTCAACAGGCAGAGGGCTTGAGACAGCTCCACGCAGTTTCTGGGGCCCCACATGCAAAGGAGGAGCAGCCAATGTGTCCCATCTCCTGACCTGGAAGGTCTCCAAGACCTTCCAAGCATGTGAAATGGGATGGAAATGGACAGCTCCAGGCGTCAAACTATGGAGGCCTCTGCTCTGATCTACATGGAAACCGAATTGAGCACCAGATGAAATCAAGTACAGAAGAGACCCAAGGGAGGAGCCCTTTGCGAAACAGCACCCGCCCCCAGACCTCTCAGAGTAAAGGAACCAGAGAGTTCGTAGAAGCCACATGACAAGAGTGTTGTCCATAAGAAGGAATTTCTATTTGTCTCTGAGCTGCAGCATCACTGGAGGGTGAATGGATAAATTTTTGAGTGTTTGAAGAATAGAGTAAGTGGGAAATGTTTAAAATCACCTTTTAAGAGTTCGCAGGACATACACTTTTGTTTTCTGACGTTATTCCTCCCACTTGGTGAGACATTCCAAAACACTATTTAATGGTGAGGCTTCCACTATGTCCCTCAGAGCGCTTACCTGTGATCACACCTGTGATATGTTCCCACTGCTTTGGTTTCCTTGCTGTTTTCACCTGGCTCTCCACAGACCAGGGCTTTCCCCCTGTTGCCAACACGGAGATAAGATTCAGGCCAGGAAGAGAATATCCTGCTCATGAAACAAAAGGAACATGATATACTCTGGTTTTTCCAGAATCCGAACCCTATATTTACGTGAAAATAGAAGACATTATAAAGAAATCTAGGAAAATTATTTTACAATTCATCCACTACTTGCCTCCTCCTGAAAGCTAAGGGAACACTGCAAAATGCAGATACCTTATTCTGTTCCAAGAACTACTGAATCAAAAACACAGGAGTAGAAAACAGGGAATTGGGTGTGTTGAAAGATTGCTCTAAGTTTTATGCATATTTCAGCTCTGGAATCACCTCACCATTGCTGTATCATGAATGGAGCAGAGCATCTGAAGAGGGGGATGCTTAAAGTCTACATGCTGCATTACGGAGCTTTCCATTCCTGAGTGAACAGGCCTTCACTGTCAGCCAAGCAATGCAGGGGCTTCCAAGAGGCACACGAGATTAAATGCAAAGACACACAAGGGCAGATCCCGACTTCTGGAGGGAAGGTATCCTCACCCAGGGAGACCAGGTTCCTGTAGTTCTCCAACATCACGTCCCTGTACAAAGCCCTCTGAGCAGGGTCCAGGCATTTCCACTCTTCCTGAGAGAATTCTATGGCCACATCCCTGAATGTCAAGTGTTCCTAAAATGAAAAACACATTTCACCAAGGCATTATGGAGAGAGTTATCATCTTCACACAAAATGAGGAGAGGAACAAAATTAAGTATTAACTAGACTGAAGTCAGTGTTCTGACAAATCCAGGTTAAGGTACTTTTGAGCAAGTTTTCTCTCTCTAAATGCATTTTATTATACTTTTCCATAAGAGATTATCATATCCTCTAAGTCAGTGTGAATTTCTCAGTTTTGTGGACAATACAAGAAATAAACAAATAAAACATAAACACAGAGTTATCTCCATAGAAATGTGAGATAGTATGTCTAACACACCAAGAGATGATCAGTATCTAGATGAGCTGGAATACAAGTGGTGTCTTCAGACATGACAAAATCCAAAGTGGCTTAAAGAAAGTAAAGTCAGAATCTAACAACTGTGATGCTCACAGTGACAGCAATGACTAACATTTTTCAACACTTCCCATGTGCAAAACACTATTCTAAATGCTTTATACGTGCACTACCTCATAGAAAAAGATCCTAGCCCATGTCAGAAAGATTTATACTAGGAGACAACTCCCATCACAGATGCTCTAAGAAACTGGCCAGAAATCAAAGAGCTAAAAATAGCAGAGCAAGCACCTCAACCCAGGTGTCTGGGATTCAGATTAGAACATAAGGGCCGGGCACGGTGGCTCACACCTGTAATCCTAGCACTCTGAGAGGCCGAGGTGGGAGGATCGTTTGAGCTCAGAAGTTCGAGACCAGCCTAGCAAAAGCGAGACCCTGTCTTTACTAAAAATAGAAAGAAATTGGCTGGACAACTAAAAATCTATAGAAAAAATTAGCCGGGCATGGAGGCGCATGCCTCCATGTAGTCCCAGCTACTCGGGAGGCTGAGGCAGGAGGTTCACTAGAGCCCAGGAGTTTGAGGTTGCTGTCAGCTAGGCTGGTGCCATGGGACTCTAGCCAGGGCAACAGAGCAGGACTCTGTCTCAAAAAAAAACAAAACAAAACATAAAAGAAACAGCTGAATTGCAATAAAACCTGACTGCATTCTGCCAAAGGAAAACCAACATAATTTTGAAAAGAAAAAGATATGGAGTTTACCAAACTACATACGAACCGCTTATGACATATGTTACCTAAAACTTTAAATTGAATCAAATGAAATACCTAAAAGATTATGTAAAAATCCAAATTAATTATAGATGTAAACAAAATTTTAAACAATAAAAATATATCTCAATGAAACAGCATTTTGTAATCATGAACTAAGCAAGGCCTGTCAAAGCAAGATGAAACAAACAAATGAAAAAAGGGGACAGGAGAAAGACTTCTGTTTTACATTAAAAAAAAAAGTACAGGCCGGGCGCAGTGGCTCACGCCTGTAATCCTAGCACTTTGGGAGGCCGAGGCAGGCGGATTGTTTGAGCTCAGGAGTTCGAGACCAGCCTACTGTTTTACGATAAGATGACTTCAATATAAT